AAAAAAAAGAAAAGAAAAAAAGATCTCATAGATGAGATAGTCCATTTTGTGATAGCCTCTTCTCTTCGTTAGCCTATGCAGGTTCCATTATTCTCCCCTTCTGTGGTTTTGATGTCACAAATTATTCTTTTTTTGTGTTGCGAGTTTCTGACTAAATTGAAGTGTTTATAGTTATTTTTGGTGCTTTCTTTCCCTTTATCCTTTATTTTATAATTAAGTGTTTGGTAACATATTCTGATGGAGAGCTGCAATTTTCTGATTTTGTCTGTCTATTTATCTCCTTGCTCCAAGCTTTGTTAACCTTTGCCTTTTTGTTTCAGAGGGCTCCCTTCATCATTTCTTGTAAGGCAGGTCTAGTGGTGATGAACTCCTTCAGCTTTTGTTTGTCTGGGAAAGCTTTTATTTCTCTGTCATATCTGAAGGATAATTTGACTGGATAGAGTACTTTTGGGTGATACTTTTTGTCTTTCAGTATGTTAAATGTATCATTCCACTCTCTCCTAGCCTGTAAGGTTTCTGCTGAGAAATCTACTGAAAGCCTGATGGGGGTTTCTTTGTAGGTTATTTTCTTCTCTCTTGCTGTCCTTAATATCTTTTCTTTGTCATTGACTTTTGGCAGGTTTAATATTATATGTTTTGGACAACGTCTTTTTGCATTGATGTAATTAGGAGTTCTATTGTCTTCGTGTATTTGCATGTCCAGTTCTTTCTTCAGGTTTGGGAAGTTCTCAGCTATTATTGCCGTGAACAAGCTCTCTGCTCATTTCTCCCTCCCTTCTCTCTCGGGGATACCTATATCCTTATGTTACTTTTCCTAATTGAGTTGGATATTTCTCACAGAATTTCTTCATTTTAAAAAAATTTTAGTTCTCTCTCCTCCTTCACCTGAATCATTTCTAGGTTTCTATCTTTGAGCTCACTGATTCTCTCCTCTATAAGATCTGCTCTATTTTTTATGCTTTCTGCATTATTTTTTATCTCATTAATTGGGTTCTTCATATCCAGAATTTCTGTTTGGTTTTTCTTAGAGCTTTAATCTCTTTGGTGAAGTATTTATTCTCTTCATTAATTTTATTCCTGAGCTTGTTGAACTCTCTTTCTGAGTTTTCTAGTAACTTGTCTAGTTTCTTAGATTTTTTATTTTTTTCCTTTTTCTCCCCAAAGCCCCCCGGTACATAGTTGTATATTCTTCGTTGTGGGTCCTTCTAGTTGTGGCCTGTGGGACGCTGCCTCAGCATGGTTTGATGAGCAGTGCCATGTCCACACCCAGGATTCGAACCAACGAAACACTGGGCCACCTGCAGCAGAGCACGTGAACTTAACCACTCGGCCACGGGGCCAGCCCCAACTTGTTGAGTTTCTTTATGACAGCTATTTTGAATTCTTTGTCAGTCAGATTGTAATCTTCTGTGCCTTCAAGTTTAGTTCCTGGAGAGCTGTCATTCTCCTGTTCTGCTGTTGCTGTAGTTCTTCATGGTGTTTGTTGAATTGATCCTCTGCCCACACATTTGTGTTAGTTACCAACTTTCTTATTTTGTTAAAGGTTTGGTTACTATGGTTCTGAGCTGCTTCTTGTTATATTTGAGAGCCTGCAACTTTCCGCCCTCTCCTCTCTCTGCTGGTGCCTTTGTTGTGACACTTGTGCCTCTGAGGTTGCTGGTGCTGGTTGCTTTTGATGTCATTGCAGTCTCAGGTGTTGTCACCAGGCTGCAAGGACTGCTGCTTCTTCCAGGGTCACCTGGGTCTTATATTATCCCACTTGCTCTTTGCAGGCTCTCCACAAGCTCAGATGCTGCTGCCTGGTACACCACCAGCACTGCTTCTGCTGGGTTATCTGGGGGTGCTGGCAACACCGCTGCCAGGGGTGTGGGGTTCACAGGTGTTGCTGTTGCTGTTGGGGACCTGGGTTCTTGTATGCAGCTCCTGCTGCTGATAGAGCCAGTGTCAGGGGTGCCACCACTGGGGGCTGGAGTCTCAGGTTCTGCTGTGGCTCTTGAAGCCTTAGGTAGCAGGTGTCACCTGCCACTGTTGGGGGAGGAGTAGGGTCTAAGCCGCAAGTGTTCTTGCTGGCCCTGCAGTCTCTGGTCACTGGTGCCCACCAGTGTGCTTTTTAAGGCCTCAGGTCAGGGGTCCCTGCTCCTGCCAGTGAAATCGTGGTTTGGTTGCTGTCCCCATTGCTGGAGAGACCAGTGCAACTTCAGATGTACTGATGTATGGATCAATCAGGCAGTCTGGTGTGCTGTGCAGGGAGTCCTTTGTTGGTCACTGGATATCTGACTGGTTGTAATTTAGAGGGGAGAGACCAATGGAATGACTCATTCCACCATGATGCTCATGTCACTCTTATTGTTGAATTTTAAGAGTTCTTTGTATATTTTGGATAACAGTCTTTTTTTAGCTGTGTCTTTTGCAAATATTTTCTTCTAGTCTATGGTTTATCTTCTGATTCTCTCAGTATTGTCTTTTGAAGAGCAGAAGTTTTTAATTTTATGAAGCCCAGCTGATCAATTATTTCTTTCATAAATTGTGTCTTTGGTGTTGTATCTAAAAAGGCATCACCATACCCAGGGTCATCATAGTTTTCTCCTATGTTATCTTCTAGGAGTTTTATAGTTTTGCGTTTTACATTTAAGCCTATGATCCATTTTGGGTTAATTTTGGTGAAGGGTGTAAGGTCTGTATCTAGATTCATTTTTTTGCTTGTAGATGTTAAGTTGTTCCAGCACCCTTTGTTGAAGAAACAATTGTATTGCCATTGTATTGCCTTTGCTCCTTTGTCAAAAATCAGTTGAGTTTATTTATGTGAGTCTATTTCTGGGCTCTCTATCCTGTTCCATTGATCTATTTGTCTATTCTTTCACCAATGCCACACTGTCTTGATTAGTGTAGCTTTGTAGTAAGTCTTGAAGTCAGGTAGAGTCAGTCCTCCAGTTTTGTTCTTCTCCTTCAATATCGTGTTGACTATTCAGAGGCTTTTTTCTCTCCATATAAGCTTTAGAATCAGTTTGCTATCTACAAAGGAACTTTTCTGAAATTTTGATTGAGATTGCATTGAATCTATAGATCAAATTTTGAAGAACTATCTTGATAATATTGAGTCTTCCTATCCATGAGCATGGGTTATCTCTCCATTTATTTAGTTCTTCTTTGATTTTGTTCATCAGAGTTTTGTGGTTTACTTCATACAGATCTTGCATATATTTTGCTAGATTTATACCTAAGAATTTCATTAGGAGTGGTGCTAATGTATATGGTATTGTGGTTTAATTTTAAATTCTACCTATTCATTGTTGGTATATAGGAAGCCATTGCAGTTTGTATATTAACCTTGTATCCTTCAAACTTGCTATAATCACTTGTTAGTTCCAGGAGTTTTTTTATCAGTTCTTTCAGATTTTCTACATAGATGATCGTGTCGTCTGTGAACAAATGCAGTTTTATTTCTTCCTTCCCAATCTGTATACCTTTTATTTCTTTTTCTTGCCTTATTACATTAGCAAGTACTTCCAGTACAATATTGTAAGGAATGGTGAAAAGAGACATCCTTGCTTCATACCTGATCTTAGTGGGAAAGCTTCAAGTTTCTCACCGATAAGTATGGTGTTAGCTGTAAGTTCTTGTAGGTAGTCTTTATTGAGTTGAGAAAGTTCTCATCTAATCCTAGTTTACTGAAAGTTTTTATGATGAATTGGTGTTGAATTTTGTTGGATACTCTTTCTGCATCTATTGATGTGATCATGTGATTTTTCTTTTTAGTCCGTTGATGTGATAGGTTCCATTAATTGATTTTTGAATGTTGAACCAGGCTTGCATACCTGGGATAAATCCCACTTGCTTGTGGTGTATAATTCTTTTTTGGATTTGATTTGCTAATATTTGTAGAGCACTTTTGCATCCAATTTCCTGAGAGATATTGGTCTGTAGTTTTCTTTTCTTGCAATATCTTTATCTGGTTTTGGCATTAGGGTAATACTGGCCTCGTAGAATGAGTTAGGAAGTCTTTCTGCTTCTATGCTCTGAAAGAGATTGTAGAGAATTGGTGTAATTTCTTCCTTAAATGTTTGGTAGAATTTATCAGTGAACCCATCTGGACCTGGAGCTTTCTGTTTTGGAAGGTTATTAACTATTGATTCAATTTCTTTAATAGATATAGTCCTATTCAGATCATCTATTTCTTCTTGTGTGAGTTTTGGCAGATCATGTCTTTCAAGGAATTGCCCCATTTCATCTTGATTATCAAATTTGTGGGAATAGAATTATTATCCTTCCATTAAAAAAAATATAGTATGCCCCTCTGGGGCTGGCCCCATGGCCAAGTGGTTAAGTTCGCGTGCTCTGCTGCAGGCGGCCCAGTGTTTCATTGGTTTGGATCGTGGGCACGGACATGGCACTGCTCATCAAACCACGCTGAGGCAGCGTCCCACATGCCACAACTAGAAGGACCTACAACGAAGACTATGCAACTATGTACTGGGGGGCTTTGGGGAGAAAAAGGAAAAAAATAAAATCTTAAAAAAATAAATAAATAAAATATATATATATAGTATGCCCCTCTACTTCTTAGACATATGGTAGCAAATTATATAGTCTTTTCTCCATCTTGATCCCTTCTTAGTAATATGTACAGCTTGTCTTTCAAGGACTGGTAGAGCAGTGTGTTTATTTGAACCACAATGACAAATACTCATTGACCCCATTCATAATATCAAATGTTTTTTTAGCTTAATTACAATATAAATGCTTTTTAATGTATTTAATTTATCCAATATTGGATCTGTGTATGTTTTCTGAGGGTAGAAACCAGGTCTATTTAACTTATTAAATAAAATTTTAAGCTCTATTTGTTTTGGAACATTTTATGAGATTTGGACCTAGTTTTAGACCAGTGACTATAGAGGTAGGTGCCCGATAAATGATATAGCTTTCCCTGATGATTTTTTGAGAAATACTTTTGTTGTGTATGTTTCACAGTTATACATGCATTTTCTCTCCTTTTACAGTCACAGGATTTCATCTGTGGGGCGCAGTAGTGGCAACAGGGGTGGTCTGCACATTCTACTGCACACTGGTATGTCAAGAATATTTTTTATCCTTTCATCTACCCACTTGCTTTGCAAAACTGAAAATTCCAATAGTTGTGTGCTGCAGTCTGGGTTGTTCATACCTATTCTCTTACTCCTACCTCCTACAGTGTAACTTTTTTGTAAGGAATATTCAGTCTGGGGTAAAATTTAATCCTTCTTAGAACATTGATCATAACTGAACATTTTTTCTTTCATCTAAACTGTGCAATGGTCCCTAATCTTGTCTCCTAATTCATCCTTACTGTTGCCAGGTTATTATGGCTGTGCTCATATTATTCTTCCACTTAGAAATCTGAGATAAATTCCCACTGTCTTTAGGCAGGAGTGGCCGTCAAAATATGTAACAACCAGTATGGCATGGGCTCTGATATTATCATAGATGCTGGTCCTTAGTGTCTATGCAAGTGGTGCAAGTTTTATGGTGTCCCCGATAGTCTGGGTTTTAACCCTTTAGTTGCTAGATCTTTTAGAAGACAGGGTACCCATGGAGGGCCTGGTCCAGCCAAGGTCATAGGTCCTGGAAGGGGACACTTGAAAAGTTTGTGGCAGTGTCTAGTACAATACAACTTGAGTATTTCAACAACTGGCATGACCTTCTATGTATATACTAGTTGAATATCAGCCCTCCCTATAGGATAAAATATCTGCCTATAGGCACATATTGCCTTTTGCAATTTGACTCTGAATTTTCTTCCCAACAATCTCCCCATACCACTCCAAAATATATATCTGGCCGCACTCAATGTGCCATGTACTTTGACCTCTCTGTGCTTTTGCCCATGCTGTTTTCACTACTTGGAGGGACTTCCATCTTTGCCTCTGCTTATGTTTGAAGGTTTGGCTTAAATATCCCCTTCTCTTGAAGGTTCTCCTAACCTGACCATTTCCCTTGGTGGTACTCTTGGCCAAGATCCATGTTTTCATTGTTTTTGTCTAGTGTAGTGTATAGCATGTAGATGTTTAATAATGTCAGATAGAAACATTAATTCTAATACACTTTCCCTTCAAAGGGTGGTCTTAAAGCAGTTATATGGACAGATGTTTTCCAAGTTGGGATCATGGTGGCTGGATTTTTATGTGTGATTATACAGTCTGTGGTGACTGAAGGTGGAATCAGCACTATTCTAAATGATGCCTATAATGGTGGAAGATTAAACTTCTGGAAGTAAGTAGCTCTTTACCTCTTGGTTAATAGAACACTCTTTTTGCTTTTTCTATAAAAATAATGTCTTTATTGAAATAGTAAGTTTACTTTAGAAAACAAACGAACCTCTAAGAATGTGGTGTAGAAAAATGAAGCTGACAAATAAATGTGTAAGCAGTTTTCACCAGGTCTTTAAGGGGTTAAAACAGTCAGATGGCGCTTAGTTATGTGATACTTAGGATGGTGCATCCTCCTGAGAAGGCATTTATAGCAGGAGTATTTTATTCCAGATATTAAAGTCTGGAATAGGTTCAAGGGTAGGGTAGAGTGATAAGGGAAGAGATAATGGAGAGAGAAGAAAAGGAAACTTCTTAAGAGAAAAACACTAAAAGATAGTGATTCCATTTTGACAGTTTTGTTTCACACAGCCTGGAAAATTTCTCTTTTGATATTGCTCTGGTAATGTATACTATATTATTATGTATTATAATTATATTTATGTGTAAGTATTATATATTATATATTATTTAATAGTCTATATTATTTCTGAGGAATTGATTATGAAAGTTATGGTTGATGCATCAAGTGTCAGTATTGCGTATAATATAAGATGTCTTAAACAACTGTTCAGTTTTCCTAAAGAGAGACTAGTGGAAAAACTAGATATTTCACCCCACTATATATCACTCAATTTAAAAGAATATTTAAAACACCTTCCCTTTTGGACTAGTAGTGTCATGCTTTTACATCATGTTCAGTATAGAGAAGGGCTCATTTTGACATGGACCAGCTTATTTTCTTTTTAAGCAGTCCTACTTTGAGGCACGAAGGCTGAAATCACTGGAAAGAAGAAATAAAACAGAGTTTGCACTTTGTTGGCTCTCTTCTGGTTTTCTGAAAATAGGTTCTAACATTTGAGAAGAGCTTTTTCAGAAATTGGACAGGGTCAATGTGTTGATTTGCAGGAATGAATTACAGCAAATCAACTTCAACTGTTTTCAGTATTTTTTTTCTTTTTACCTCAAGATTCAGATTCCAAGGAAGAGAGCCTCCAGTTGGCTTAGCTTGAGCATGATTCCATCCATCCCTTAGCTAGAGCAGAGCAGGATGTTTTGATTGACAGCCATGTAGACTATTAAATGGAGAAATGGTAGCTTCCCCATAGTAAACCTGGATTGCTGTTACCAGAAGAGGGGAGAATGGACACTAAGAAGCAGATACAACCTGTGTCCACTCAGGAGATCTTGGTCATTCCCAAATCTCTTCCTGGTAGGCTGGGTTGAGGGGAGAGGTTGTGGAACCAATCGTTTTTCTGCAAGATAACTGTTACTTTGTACAAAGGATACACATACTCCCCCATTGAAGTGGTAACATGCATCAATAAAAGATTCTAAAGAATAAAAGATAAGACATTTTTATGATCTTTACTTTGAAGACTGCCAACCATTAAATAATAATGAAAAGGCTTATCGTGTATCCCTTGTAATTCTAATAAGTTTTGAGAATATCACAGGCAAAATATCTGCTCTGGTGGAGATAAATGAAGAGAAGGATTTTGTGTTGGTATTTTCTGTGCAGTCTTTAGTTGGCATAAATATGCTGTTTGGCCTGAAACCACTGAATTTTGTGTTTTAAATCTTGTCTTACTTCCCTCAGGTAGCTCGCTGAATCCTTTGGCTCTTGATTTCCATTTGCTAACATAGTGGCTACTTTCTCTATGGGAGAAAAGGTCAACACCCTTGACGCTCTTAGACTTTGACATTAAATATTAGAGAATGGAATAGAGGCTTTGATCTTTCCACAGGAATGCCAGAATATGCATAAAATCCAAACACTTTATTCAACTGATCTCATATATAAGATTTGGAATAGATTTGAAGAAATTCATAATTTTCAGGAAGTTTCCATGAAAGCTAATTTTGCAGAAATTTATCAAACCCATATTGTGTATCAGAGATGAACAGAATCATTCCTTCCAATGTGGTACCTTAAGAAGGATTAAAAGATGTATAAGCAGTGAAGTTAAGCTTTGTAACAATATTTTTGTCTTAGGTAAATGTTACAAAGTGTCTTGTAACTATTAGTTTTTAGCTTGTGCACACAGCATTTTCAGAAAGCGTGATTAGGGGCTGGCCCGGTGGTGCAGCGGTTAAGTGTGTACGTTCTGCTTTGGCAGCCCGAGGTTCACTGGTTCAGATCCCGGGTGTGGACATGGCACTGCTTGGCAAGCCATCCTGTGGCAGGCGTCTCACAGTAGAGGAAGATGGGCACGGATGTTAGCTCAGGGCCAGTCTTCCTCAGCAAAAAGAGGAGGATTGGTGGCAGATGTTAGCTCAGGGCTAATCTTCCTCAAAAAAACAAAAAAGAAAGAAAAGAAAAAAGAAAGAATGATTATAATGACATGGTAGTTTTAGAACATGAAAACCTTTAAACTGCCTTAATTGACTGATTTCTTGAGCTTAAATATAAATTAGAACTGTGACTGTACATGTGCTAAGAAAGGAGTTATACACTCAAAATGTGCCAATTTTGTGTTCATTTCAGTACCCTATCTCTTGCTGTGGTGAATTTAGGAACCTATGTTTCTCTTTTCAGTGTCATGGTCTTCTCTGTTTATAACATGGCAGACTTGCTTAAATAATTTCCTATGGCTATGGGAGAACAATTTATATAAACACTCAGAATGATTATTTATTTTCCCCCAGTCCCATCCAGAATTTCTAAATCTCTGAAAGTATCAATTTTTGTTTCATTAAACTTAAGTTAGGAATATTTCTACCTCTTATATTACTTGATAAATTTGTATATATTTATGTATATGTACATATTTATATAGGTATACACTGCTTGCTTCAAAAAATATTCTTTGAGGATTTTCTGTAGTTTTTTTGCTGATGGTTCCGACTTGTTTTCTGTTTCTTTTCGTTTAGTTTTAATCCTAATCCTTTGCAAAGACACACATTCTGGACAATTATAATAGGAGGGACCTTCACGTGGGCCAGCATCTATGGTGTCAACCAATCACAAGTGCAGAGATATATTTCCTGTAAAAGCAGATTCCAGGCAAAAATGTAAGCCAAACTGTGGTATATAGATCATTATAACCATCAGTTATCTTTATGGAAACTCTTTCGTAAGTCAAGCTTTGCTCAAGTTTAAGTCTTTCATATCATGAAATTCCAAGAGATATATGATATACTTACTTACAAAAGGATAAAGTGGTACTGTATGTTTTAAATCAGATATAGAAAATATTTATATGAATTGTTAAGTAAAATAAGTCTTATCAAATAAATAGGCATTTACTGTGTATCTGTGTAACGAGCTATCGGGATTAAAAAATTATAAATACAAGGCTCTTATTGTTAAGAAACTTAACATCAAATTAGGAAATACATGCAAGTGAAATAACACTAGAGAGGCATAACAGTTCCCTGAAACAATATGACAATAGAGGAAATGTTCCAGAGCATTTTATTGCCAGATGTGCTGGTGTATTTTATTTTCAGACACAATCATAAATTTATAACCCTGCTCTAATACTTGCTACTTGAGTGATCCTGGATCAGTTCTTAGACTCTTTTAGCTTCAGTTTCTAAACTTGGTAAATGAACCTAAGAAATATACCTCTCATGGGAGGTATTGTGGAATACTGTGTTTGGCACACACATATTAGAAGTCCAGTAAATGTGAATTCCTTTTCCACCTAAAATCATGGAATGCAAAGGCAGAAGATGAGTAAGAAATTCTTGTCAACCAGGCAGATCCTGAAGGATGATCATATGTGGGCAGGTGGAGGAGAGTGGGAGGGCATTCTAGGTAAGCAGAGTAATTTGGACAAAGCATAGAGGTTGAAAGGACGACATGGTCAGGGAACTCTCAAGCTCATCTTGGCTTGAGCGAAGAGTATCAACAGTGGCTGGTTGTTTCTCAGGAGGCCTCAGATCAGCTTGGTGACCACCATTCGTTGTGCTGATAAATATGGCTCACTAGGCCCACATGCATGTAGGAGCCTAGAAACTCTAAAGAGATTAACAGTGTGATTGGAGTAGGAGAAGGAGTGGCAATTCTATTTCTATTCAAAGGAGAACATGAAAATACTGTGATGACACATGTTAGAGCTCAATATATTGAGAGTAAATTGGTTTGGACATTATCTATCTTTAGAAATTTCCACAACGACAGATATATATGAATATGAGTACAATAATTAGATATGGAATTCCCCAAAAGTGAGCTTAGGAGTTCTGATATTTTAAGGAACTTGAAGGCATGTAATTTATATATCCAGTAATCCACTGGATTTTGAATCTATACCAGAGCGGATGCCTCTCCCAAAGTAATTGTGCACATGCTCTTCTATTTCTTTGGGAACATGAAACTCAAAAAGCCCAATTTTATAGCTGTAAGAGCAGCGTTAGAGCTTTCTTAATAGGAAGCAGTTTCCTTCAGGATAGCCCAATGGGTCTCCTTAGCAAGGCGGACTCCCCGAGCTCAGGGGAACCATTTTCTCCTGTTTTCTAACACTCTCCTTGGGAAGAATGAATCCAGCCACAAAGTGAAGACCTACTGACATTGACTGGTCAGGGACAATATCAGATGTTGATAAGTGGTGTATTTGGATAGTATTAAAGTCAAAATGATATGGTAAAATGTTAAACTCATATATAAGCAAGGGCTGAGCAGGAAAGTGTCAGGGCATATTTTCTGATGATTTGGAGATGAGATATAGCTACTTTCACTATTTTTATACAATAACAAAAAATGTAGTAAATTTAGTCAATTCAAAGGAAAAGGCTAGCAATCTGTTGTTTGGCACCCGTTGCAGGGTGGGTCCTCTGGAAGCCAACTTTGTGATGGAGGTTAGCATGCCAGAGTCTATTACAGTAACGCTGTAGAAGAGAAGGAAGAGAACGAAGCAGAACTGGACAGAGGGAGATATTGGACTGTTACTTGGTCTCAACAGAGGCTTCGCAGGGAGCTTGGAAGCTGGGATGACTCTTCAGACTTACCCCAAGTTAGAGGGGACTGGGCCTTTAAATCTCTGGTTCCAGAAGTCATTAGATGCAGGCTTCCCTGGGGAAGCAGGCATGACTTTGGGAGTGATACCTCCCTTCAGCCTAGGACAGCTCATCACAGTGTCCACCACAGCACCGCTGGGGAAAAAATGTAGCCACCTTAGTGAAGGAAATGTTTTCTATTCAACTGATTATTAAGACATAGCATTCAATGACATTAGCACTAATAACATCAATAACTACCATTTAACAAGTGTTTATCACATTCCAAGCACTGTGCTATATGATATATATTATTTCATTTAGGCTTATAACCCTGTGAGGTGGGCATTGTTATGTCTAGGTGTAAATGGAGAAACTGAGGATGGGAGAGGCTGAATTACTTGCCCGGGGTCACATATGGCAGGTAGAGCCAGAATTTATGCTCAGGTCTGACTCCAGTGCTGTTACATGAACCTTTGCATCCTACTGGAGCACATGTATTATATTGTATTATAATGCTGAACAATGTTTGAGAAGATACCCGTCCAAGGAATACAGGTTTGCCTTTCATACCTAATGGATGATATTACAAACCACATTTAAACAAGTTTGATGAGTTGCTATGTAGATGCTAACAATATTTAGCAGTTTATAATTGCGTTACTTTAAAAAGGAAAATGAACAATAGTTGCTGCTCTGTTGACTAATCAAATCTCTATTTCATGACAAGAAGCCCTGAAGTAAGATAATTAGATACCATTATGAAGCTGATAATACCCATGGAACTCTGACGAGGAGGATACATTCGTTCAATGGAAAAATCCCATCTATTCCAAGTATTTCCACACACATTGTTGACTGACATCATAAGCAGAATGTTATGAATAAAATAGGCCAGAATAAAATAAATAGCATTTTTGATAACCAAAAGATAGCATGCATTTATTGAGAATAATCATGAAAGTTTCTCTGTTTGTTTAACAAGTTTCCTAATCTTTGGGATGGAAATTACAGTTGTCATTTGCTGGTTTGTTTTCACTTCTGTAGGTCTCTCTACATCAATCTTTTGGGACTTTGGGTAATCCTCGTCTGCTCAGTGCTTTGTGGACTCGCCCTGTATTCCAGGTACCATGATTGTGATCCCTGGACAGCCAAGAAAATATCTGCACCAGACCAGGTTGAGTACCATGTCTTTCTTACACACGGATTAATAACATTCAGAAAGCTCATTAATTGGGAAGAAAGAGTGTTTATGTTCTTGTAGAGAAACAGCAAATTGGTACAATATAATCATCTTTGACTTCTATAATGCATTTGGCAAAAATTTATTTTAGCAGATCCAGCAAGAGTGAAGAATGCTGCATCCAAGATTAAAATATTGAAATACCTGGAAAAATTTGAAGCCAAGTGTTAGATAGAAATAACTCAAGGCTGGGAGTAGAAATGTAAACACAGTTAAAAAAACTATACACGCAACATGGTACTGTAGAGTATTTTGTGGGTATTGTTAGATTGCTCATTTATGAACAGTTATATTCCATTCTTTCACGGATAAAGAAACGAATCCAACAAGTGAACATTTATTGAGTACCAACTATGTGATGAGATTCTGTGCAAAGAGCCTTGTATCCTTTATCTCTTTTAATTTTCACAATCCTGTAATTCTAATCTTATAGATGAGGAAATGAATGAACCTCAGAGACGTGACATAGCCAATAAATAAGAATAACTGCAAGCACTCATCACATACTTACCACGGGCCAGGTGCTATCATAAGTGCTTTACATAAATTTCAACTTCTAATCCTCACAGTTACGCTTTGAAATAGGTGCTATGATTATCTCCCTTTCAAACATGAGGAAACCAAAGCACAGAGAAATTAAGTAACCAGCTAATAAACTTGGATGCAGGATTTGAACCCTGGCAGGCTGCCACCAGAGTCCTACCTTTGAACCTCTCTGTCATATACCATCGTTCAGAAAGTGGAGCTAGAATTCAAACCCAGGACTCCCTGACTCCAAAGCCTGAGTTTTTGTTCTCAGAGTTCCTGCCAAAATTATTTTCCAGGACTTGCTTGTAAATCAAGTGCCCAGGGGACTCATTAGAATGAAGATAGGGTAAATTTTTTGTTGGTGCAAATGCATCACATATTCCCAGAAAAATACAGCTTTGTGGGATTAGAAAATGAAGGCATGCTTGAGCTGTGTATCTCAACCTTATCTTAGCCCATCCTCTCCTTTTGATAAACGGATCCTTCCTATTCACTCAGAGAATCCAAGAATCATGTTTGCTCTGAAGATGGAGGCACTCTTCCATTATATTCACTCTAGTCAAGAATTTTTTGTGGTTTTTGTTGATCTTTATTGTCTGTAGTTTGTATCATGAAGACAATAGGGATTTTAAAAATGTTTCTGATATGCCTTCCCTTACCCCGGACAAAAATATCCCTACAACTTCCTAACCTTGAGACCCCTTGTCATAGAACGCGTTCAGCAGTGTCTTGCATACATGCACCTATCGCTTAGAGGATTTTAGATCTCATTGTAACACTAGCAAAGGAAACTACTTCTGCTTGTGTATGGGATACTGCTTGACGTTAAACTTTTAAGAAATCTTGGGAATTTGCTTCTCATATAGAGAATCTCATATAGAGAGAAGTGCTGCTCTCATTTTCTGTGAATAAAGAATTAGTAAACTTTGGAGAAAGTGGAGGAAACATTCTTAAAACAACTCAACACGGACCCTTGGGACAGTGCAGGATGTGCTTCCATATCCCATTAGCAGACCATTGTTAAATGAGACCAAAGAAGCTGGTAAGATAGAGCATGCCATCCACGCTGTACTATGGGAGAAGGAATCAATCATGTTTCAATGCAAATGAGAAGACATTTTTCTGGAAAATTATCCACTTTGACCCTTTTGATATAAAAATCAGTTTTGCTGAAAGACTGCCATGTAAAACAGTGCTGAAGTCATGCACATTCTCATCCTTATTTAATATTTATTTAAAAAAATAAATCAAAAAGCAAACTTATCAAAAGGCAAGTTGGTATCAGTAACTTTTTTTGAAAGAAGCAAATTTCAGGAATTTACTGAGGTTGCTCACCACTATGTCTCATACATGTGCAGCTATTACACTTTCAGTCCTGGGAAGTGATTGAAGTTCACAAAGATGGCCTTGAGTCATCAAGTAAAGTTAATTAAGTGATGTGACTGCTGCTTGCTTAAGCACAGAGGTCTGTAAAATATTTCCTTTAAATTGATTTGTTATTCCAAAAATGAGAATAGCAACCTTTTTATCAAGCATGGACTATACTAAGTGCTTTACAAAGAGTATCCAATTTAACTTTTATGGCAACTCTACAAGGTTAGTTTTATTACCCCTGTTTTACAGATGAGGAAACTGAGGCTCAGAGAAATTAGGTAACAAAAGCCACATCTGTCTGAATCCAAAGTCTGTACCTGTAACGACTGTGCTATTCTCTACTTTAAGTGTTACCTGTTAAAGATTTAATTTTAGGGATTTGGAAATTTCAGTTATGTGGAATAGCTTCCTTTAGTTCTTGAAGAAGATAAAATAAATGAGTCATTCATTAATTTTATTTGAATGAAAATAGTACTCAGGAGTAAATTTTTTAATTTTTCAGCTCATGCCTTATTTGGTACTAGACATTCTGCAAGATTATCCAGGACTTCCTGGACTTTTTGTGGCCTGTGCTTACAGTGGAACATTAAGGTATGAACTATATCACTCTAATAATACGTGGTTTCTCTGTTGGGATCCTTCTTTTGTTATTGGATAATTCGAGGGATAAAGCTGAATTCTGGACGTGGGCACAAATGGCCCAAAGTTGGCAATCTACTCCATGTATCCTCTCTGTCAGTCTGACTCTTATCTTTGTGGGCTAGCAGTCTGTTATCATCAGTCTCCACTTTTAACTTAGTCCCTATCTTCTAATACACTATCACATACCCTATAGGGTCATAATAATGATGATCACTTGATGGTAGCTTTTACTGATTATCAAAAATAGGTACCTACAGTCTCAGTTTAAAATATGCATGTGGCTAAAGCATAATCAAATGGACAATTAGAATTAAAATCTCCCATTTACATGCTGAATAATATACACTGTCCAAAGAATCTTGTTTTGTGTTTGAACTTATTCATTGCACATTCTTCCTGTGTTTGCTCCAGGGAATTCTTATTATTAACATGTGCATCATATGTTAGCGAGGATCCAGGGAATTAATACTATGGATATTTATGACACGTTAGTGAAGACTTATGACAGTTCTTTCTATGCACAAAGAAAAGTAGGTTTAAAGTTGTTATGTAAAAATGCTGCATAATATATGTAGATTCTTTCCATAGACACGATTAATTGCAAGAGGGAAGCAACATTAAATGGTCCTTTCTCACTATTAAGCCTATGGATGTTGCCTGAATCATTCTTGGATGGGAACAACTGCCAGAAAGAGGATGCTGGGATCATTCAAAATAATATAATAGAAATCTGGTTATAGTTCAGAAGTAACAATTTGTTCTTCCCCTTCTCCTTCCTGCTTAAAGTATTATTAAAGTATTATTGAAGTATTATTAAAGTTAAAATGTTACAAATCGAAAGTTCTATTTTCCCTCGCAGCACAGTGTCCTCCAGTATTAATGCCTTAGCAGCAGTGACTGTGGAAGATCTGATCAAACCTCACTTCAGACCGCTCTCAGAAAGGTCTCTCTCTTGGGTTTCCCAAGGAATGAGTAAGTTTCCATTTTCACAATTCCATTTTAGCTCTGGGAGATGATTTTTAAAGATACTAGAAATTCTTTTCCGTAGTAGATACAGAGTGAGAACCTCTGAGTGCCAATGGATATACATATCCGCATGGCTATGGCTTAATGCAGTCATGGCTATATTTGCAATGAAGATTTAGGAGATACTTCAAATAGTTAGTTGTCAGGGACCACAAAGGACGATTTCCAGGGGTCCTATTTGGCTGTCCTTTCCTACTGTCTTCCTATCACAGATCTATGTCAAAATTCTTAGCCACAGAAAAAAAATTCATTCCTTTTCCTTTTCAGCTTTAGACCACAATTTTAAGGAATATCCTTAATTTGGAAGCAAGAGCCACACTTTTTCTATGTTACCTAAGAAGGTGCTGTCAGTTTAAGGTACAGAGTCTGTGTATTAATTGAAAATAAAGAAGCAGAGCATTATGCTTTTAACCTGTCTTGGTTGTCTGCTCTGTCTGCACATGCAGACTGTCCTGGAGATGGTCTATAAAACTGTGCAAGGAATTCTCAACTTATATTCTTAGATTATCAGACTTTATTAGGGGTTAAGTATCTGGCTTGAATAGAAAAGTTTAAAGGTCTCTAGTTCCCAGATGTTCCAAATGTAATATCTGACTGAAAGAAATCTGGCTAGTGTACTCCATTCCTTATTTGACTTCTTGGGCATACGTGTTTTGGAATGAATGACTAACAATTCTTTTTTAAAAAGACACTTTAACCTCAAAACAATAACACTAATAGACGGTCAAAGAAATAGTAAGTAATATTCTTTTTTAAGCCATAATTTTTTTTTTTAAAGATTTTATTTTTTTCCTTTTTCTCCCCGAAGCCCCCTGGTACATAGTTGTATATTCTTCGTTGTGGGTCCTTCTAGTTGTGGCATGTGGGACGCTGCCCCAGCGTGGCTCGATGAGCAGTGCCATGTCCGCGCCCAGGACTCGAACCAACGAAACACTGGACCGCCTGCAGCGGAGCGCACGAACCCAACCACTCGGCCACGGGGCCAGCCCCTTTAAGCCATAATTTTATATATAATTGCCATGACTATAGCCTGGAATAAGTACTTAATTTATATTCTTCATTGTCCCCCAAATTTAAATAGCACTGCATCATTTTACCTGGTTTTAATCCTGGAGCATAATTTCAGAATGATACAATGCTTCTTGAGGAGTATTTAGACTGGTTCATTATGGGATTATTGAAGCTGGGTGGTTTAGTAGAGTGAATAGAAGCTTTTGAAGCCAGAAAAACCCAATCTTGCTTCATCAATTTACTAGCTATTATCTTTGAGGAAACCCAATAACCCATTTGAACCTCTGTTTCTTTATGTGGAAAATGAGAACAAAAACTATTCACCTTTCAGCTATACTATGAGGTTTAGAGATAATGTATATTAAACAAGAGGCACTAGCTGGTGCTCAAGGAATGATGCTGCTAATGATTAATAAGAAATCAACTCTGCTAGTGCAAATGAAGTTTTCATTCATTTTGAAGAGTTATATAAAATCACTATCTTGAGATATCTACAATAAGGACATCATAGAGAGGAGCATGGTAGATGGTGTGAATATGTTTCCAGTGGCTTTAAATACCAAAAACCACAGTGGTATCCATTCATGAGCTATCAAATGGAGAAGAATCTAGCTAAATATGTTGAAAATACTATTTATATTAGGATTCAGAGGCATAAAAAATCATTGCAACAAGAGCCCTTTGCAAAAACTTAATGTAAAGGTTTCCATTCAGGTCTAATAGGATTATTTACCCAATATGCTTAACAAAGGAGTGAGTGTTAGTGTAAGTAAAATAGGAATTACATGATATAAGGAGTGCACTAATTTTATGATGAGCCAATTTCTCATTAATTTTTTCTGTACTTTGAATTTTATGTGTGGGAAATTATATTGACTGATTTCAGGTGATTTTTGCTGAATGGAAGTCATTAAAAATAAAATTTAGAGGGGTAAGCTTTTCTATAATTTAAAAAGTAAAATGTGTACTTGGATAAAATCTGGAAAATAACTGAAAGCCAAAAAAAAAAAAAAAAATCCTACCATCTGACCACCAGTGGTGGCTTGAGGATTTCTATAGTTTAGGGGAAACAATTTAGTAGAAAGAGGAATATCATACTTGTCTTGAAACTGCCTTTCTTTGCTAGTTTAACAGGAAAGGCATGAGGATGTTGATGGAATGAAAGCGCTAAAGGTCTTAAACCACCCTTTGGTGTAGATTGCCACTTCCCTGGAGAAATGAACACTTAAAGTCAGAAGGCTCTAATTTCTGATGTTTATTACTCCCCTGCTGCATCACCTTGTGCAGAGCACAGCTGAATTGTGTCCTATTTTTGGCAAACTAAAAACAGAGACCTGAGGCTTCCTTTATAAACAAAGGGTTATGGAGGATTAGATTAATAACACAATAGTTCTTAGCTTTAAAATTCCTGCAGTTAATTCTAGGGATTCTTTACTTATATAACCTAATGTTGTCATTAATCCTGGGACACAATATCAGGGTTTTCTCTTCTTTCTTTATACACTGCTGATCCTGTAGGAAAACACCCCTTTCCTTTTTTGGCTGGCTCTGATGTATGTGGCCATTGTTCACTGCAGTCATATTACTCACTTTGAATCAAAGATGTGACAGCTTATTCTACTCAGAATTCTAATCCTCTGAGTCTGGATTTTATATCATCCATCTAGGCCTGCTGTTTGGAGCCCTGTGTATTGGAATGGCTGCACTGGCATCACTGATGGGGGCTTTGTTGCAGGTAAGAGCTGACCTTTGAAAGTTTGAGTCATAATCACTACATTTTTCTTTTTCTTTTTAATGTTGATGTGATCATCCTCCCAGACTTCTTTATGTATATGTCTATGAATAGGGAAACAAATTAAAATCACAATGAGATGCTCTATAAAAGCAAGAAAGAGAGATGACTAAACTCTTTTAAAATTTTTTTAAATTAAACTTTCTATTTTGAGATAATTGTAAGTTTACCTGCAATTGTAAGAAATAATACAGAGATCTCATATACCTTTACCTGGTTTCCCTCAATGATAACATCTTGCAAAACAATAGTACAATATCACAGCTAGGATATTGACATTGATACAGTCAAGATGTGGAATGTTTCCATCACCACAAGGATCCCTCTCATTCCCCTTTTATAGCCACACCCACTTCCTTCCTGCCCCTATTCCCTCCTTAACCCCTGGCAACCACTAATTTGTTCTCCATTTCTATAATTTTGTTGTGTCAAAATGCTATATAAATAGAATTATATAGTATGTAATCTTTTGAGTTGGCTTTTTTTTACTCAGCATAATTCTCTGGAATTCATCCAGGTTGTTGCATGTATCAATAGTTGGTTCCCTTTTTATTGTTGTATAGTATCCCCTGGTACGGATGTACTACAGTTGGTTTAGCCACTCATCTGTTGAAAGGACAGCTGGGTTTTTTCCAGTTTGGGGCTATTATGAATAAATATGCTACATTTATGTACAGGTATTGTGTGAACATATCTCTTTATTTCTCCACAATAAATGCCCAAGAGTGCAATTTCTGAGTGGTAGTTGTGTATTTACTCTTTAAAGAAGCTGACAATTTTCTAGAGTGATTGCCCCATTTTTATACCAGTAGCATGTATGAATGGTCCAGTTTCATCACATCCTTTCCAGCATTAGTAGTCACTATTTTTTATTTTAGCCATTCTGATAGGTGTACGTTGCGTATACTGATATCTCATTGTGGTTTTAATTTACATTTCCCTAATGGCTGATGATGAACATTTTTTTAGGTATTTACCATCTGTCCATCTTCTTCCATAAAATGTTGCTTCATGTCTTTTGCCCATGTTCTAATTGAATTGTTTGCTTTTTTACTGTTGAGTTTTGAGAGTTCTTTATATATTCTAGATAATAGCCGTTTGTCAGAGGTGGTTTGCAAATATCTTCTCACTCTGTAGCTTGTTTCTTCACCCTCTTAATCTTTTACAGAGCAGAAGTTCTTAATTTTGATGAAGTCCAATTTATCAAGTTTTTTTTTATGGATTGTGCTTTTGATATGAAGTCTAAGAACTCTTTGTCTAGCCCCAGATCTTGAAGATTTTCTCCTATGTTTGTTTTCTAAAAGTTTCAGAGTTTTACATTTTATATTTATATTTATGTCCATGTTCTGTTTAGAGTTAATTTTTGTATAAAGTAGAGACTTAGGTTGACATTTTTTTCCTTTCTCCCTGTGGATGTCCAATTACCCCAGCACCATTTGTTGAACAGACTGTCTTTCTTCCCTTGAATTGCCTTTGTGCCTTTGTTGAAAATCAGTTGGGCATATGTGTGTGGGTATATTTCTTGGTTCTATATTCTTTTCCACTGATCTATGCATCTATCCCTCTGCCAGTACCACAGTCTTGATGACTGTAGCTTTATAATAAATCTTGAAATCGGGTAGACTGAATCCTTTTACTTTATTTTTCAAAATTGTTTCAGACATCCTAGTTCCTTTCCTTTCCAGGTAAAGTTTAGAATAATCTTCTCTATATCTAAAAATAATCTCTCTTAGATTTCGATAGGATTACACTAAACCTGTGTATCAACTTGGAGAGGATTGATAGCTTTACTATAGTGAATCTTCTAATTCATGAACATAGTATATCTCTCCATTTATTTGGGTCATCTCTGATTTTTTTTATCACCATTGTAATTTTCATTATACAAGACTTCTGTCTATATGTTTTGTTAGAGTTACATATATTTCATTTTTCTGAGTGATTGTAAGTGGTATTGTATTTTTAATGTTGATGCCTATGCCCTTGTGTTTGTTAAAATATAGAAATACAATCAAGTTTTGTATATTTATCTTGTATCCTGTAGCTTTGCTTAATTCACTTGTTGGTTTGGATCTTCTCCGTAGAAAATCGTGTTGTCTTCAGACAGAAACAGTTTTATTTCTTCCTTTCAAATATGTATGTATACCTTTTATGTTCTCATTGCACTGGCTTCAACTTCCACATCATGTTGGATAAGAGTGGTAAGAGCAGACATCTTTGCCTTTTTCCCCAATCTGAGTAGGGAAAGCATTCAGTCTTTCACCCTTGAGTATAATGTTAGCTGTAGTTTTTTTGTAGATACCCTTTACCAAGTTGAGAAAATTACCCTCTATTCATATTTTTCTGAGAGTTTTTATTATGAAAGAGAATTGAATTCTGTCAAATACTTTTTGTGCATTGATTGATATAGTTACGTGTTGATGCAAAATAACAACCATTCTATAGATGAGAGAGATAAGGTGAGTTTTACTTGAGCCAGGGTGAGGATTATAACCTAGGAAGGCCTTTACCAGAGAGGAAGAAAGCGTTCTGGAGAAGCATGGTTTTCAGTACAGTCTTATACCCTTTTAGAACAACGAACATACATTAAACATGCCCAGTGTACATATTCATCAAAGTTTCAAAGAGGTATTCATTTGCAAATTAGCAGGTCAATGTGACCCTGATGTCAGGAAAAGGACTAAATAGGGCGTTACCAATAGGGCATAGGAGTGGAAGTATGTATTCTTATCTTAACAGAGTACATTCGTCATTTTAATGCTTAACGCAGATGTACAATGTATGTTTAATAGGCCGTAAGTCAGGCTTCTTTAGTTCAAGCTGAATCAGTTTTGAACCTGAGTGGTTACCCCATATACCTCAATATGTGAAAATCTCTTGTCAACATGATATTCATCTTTAGTCTGTTAACATGGTGGATTATATTGATTGATTTTCAAATGTTGAACCAGTCTTGCATACCTGGAATAAACTTCATTTGGTCATGATGTAATTTTTATATATTGCTAAATTCTATTCACTAATATTTTGTTAGGGATTTTTTGCGTCTATATTCATGGAAGATGTTGATCTGTAGGGTATTTTTGGTATCAGAGTCATACTAGCTTCATAAAATAAATTAGGAAGAATTCTTTCCTATTTTCTGGAAGAGATTGTGTAGAATTGGTGTTAATTATTCTTTAAATGTTTCATAGAGTTCTCTAGTGAAAGCATCTAGACCTGGAGATTTGTTTTTGGAAGTTTTGAAATTGTGAATTCAATTTCCTTAATAGTTATAGGGCTGTTCATATTATCTGTTTCATGTTGGGTAAATTGTAGTAGTTTGTGTTTTCAAGGAATTGGTCCATTTCATCTAAGTTGTCAAATTTATGTGTGTAGAGTTGTTTATTCCCTTATTATTCTTTTGTGTCTGCAGGGTCTATAGTGCTATCCCCTGTTTCAATCCTAATATTGATAATTCTGTCTTTTCTCTTTCTTTCTTCAGTCTTGCCAGAGGTTTGTAAATTTCATTGATATTTTCAAATAACTAGCTTCTTGTTTCATTGATTTTCTGCATTGTTTTTCTGTTTTCAATCATTGATTTTTGCCCTTTGTTATTTTCTTCCTTTTGCTTGCCTTGGGTTTATTTTGCTCTTCTTAAACTAGAATCTTAGATTACTGATTTGAGACTTGCTGTTTTACAACACATAGTTAGGTTATCTTTTAAAGTCCATCCTGCCAATCTCTGTCATTTTATTGGTATACTTAGACCATGTACGTTTGGTGTAATTATTGGCGTGTTAGTGTGTGAACTTATTGCTAAAAATTTCCCTATCAGTGTTGGTTTTGCTATGTCCCACAACTTTTAATGTTTTATGTTTTCTTTTTCATTTGTATTTTAAAATTTTATTTGAGATGTCATTTTGGCCAATGGATTATTTAAAAGTATGTTACTTAGTTTACAATTGTGGGGAAATTTTTCTGTTATCTTTCTGCTATTGATTTCTAGTTTTATTTCAACGTGGTCAGAGAACACATTCTGTATGATTTTAATTCTTTAAATTTGTTAAGTCTGTTTTATGGCCCAGAATATGGTATTTTGGTATATGTTCCATAGACACATAAGAAGAATGTGTACTCTGCTGTTCTGAGGTGGAGCATTCTATAAGTATCGATTAGATCCTGCTTGTTGATGGTGTCACTGAGTTCTATATCCTTGATGATTTTCTGACGATGTTCTGATGATTTTAATTGTGTATTTGTCTGTTTTCCTTTTAGTTCTATCAGGTTTTGCTTCATATATTTTGCTACTCTGGTGTTTGGTGCGTATGCATTTAGGATTTCTATGTCTTTTTTTGTGAATTAACCCTTTATCATTATATAGTATCCCTCTCTGTCTCTAATAATTTTCCTTGCTCTGAAGTCTAATTTATCTGATATTAAAATAGTTACTCCTGCCTTTCTTTGATTAATTGTTGCATAATATATATTTTTTTCATCTTTTTACTTTGAACCTGCCTATATCATTACATTTGAAGTGAATTTTGGAGACAACACATAGTTAGGTTATCTTTTAAAGTCCATCCTGCCAATCTCTGTCATTTTATTGGTATACTTAGACCATGTACTTTTGATGTAATTATTGGCGTGTTAGGGCTTAGGTCTACTGTTTTTTGCTCTCTGTTTTCTTTTCTCCCCCTACTTCCTTGTGGGTTACTTGAATGTTGTTTAGAATTCCATTTTGATTTATCTATATTGTTTTGAGTTTGTCTCTTTGCATAGTACTTTTTTCTGTTTGCTTTAGGTATTACACTATATGTAAATACCTTATCACAGTCTATTTGTTTTGTCATTTTATCAATTCAAGTATAGAAGCCTTACCTCCCTTTTTGTCCCTTTACACTGCCTTGTTTATAATACAATTGTCTTAAATTTTTACTCTCTATACATTTAGAATTACATCAGTGTTGTAACATTTGTATCAACAATCAAACAATTTAGAAAACTCAAGAGGAGAAGGAAAGACTATTTTATTTACCCGTATTTTTGCTTATTGTATTCTTCCTTCCTGATGTCCCAAGGTTCTTTCTTTTTACCATTTAATTTCTATTTAGAGAACGTCATTTAGCCATTCTTTTAGGATAGGTCTGTTTGCAACAAATTCTCTTAGTTTCCCTTATCTGAGAATGTATTGATTTCCTCTTTTTCCCAAAGGACATTTTTCTTGGATATAGGATTCTGAGTTGACAGTTCTTTTTTTCCATCACTTGAAAAATATTGTGCGGCCTCCATTATTTCTGACAAGAAATCTGCTGCCATTCTAATGGTTTTCCCCTAGAGATAAGATGTCATTTTTCTCTGGCTGATTTCAGGAATTTTTTTTTTTTTGGTCTTTAGTTTTCATTTTAATTATGATGTGTCTTGGCATGTATTTCTTTGGGTTTATCCTGTTTAGAGTTTGCCAGCTTCTTGAATCTGTAGGTTCATGTCTCTTGCCAAATTTGGGAAGTTCAGATATTATTTTTTTCAGTACTTTTCAGCTCCACTCTCTTTCTCTTTTCCTCTATGACTCTGATGACATGAATGTTAGATTTTTTTGTTATAGTCCCAAAGGTCCTGGAGATTCATTTCACTTTTTTAAAGTCTGTTTTCTCTCTGTTATTCATTTTGGGTAATTTCTATTGGTTTATCTTCCAGCTCACTAATTCTTCCCTCTGTCCCTTCCATTCCTCTGTTGAATCCATCCACTGAGATTTTCACTTCAGTTGTTATATTTTTCACTTCTAAAATTTCTCTTTGGTTCTTCTTTATATCTTCTATGTTTTTGCTGAGAATTTCTATTATTTTTTGCTAAAGGCTTCTATTTTTTCATTTGTTTCAAATATGTTCTGACTGCTGAAGGAGTTTCATCATGGTTTCTTTAAAATTTTGTGAAATAATTCTGATATCTCTGTCACATCTGTATTGGCATCTCTTGCTTTTTGTTCCCATTCAATTTGTGATCTTTCTAGTTCCTGCTATGAAAAGTGAACTCAGTTGAAACCTGGACATTTTCATATTGTGTCATGAGACTCGAGCTCTTACTTACACCTCTGTTTTACTTTGCGTTCTTTGATACCACCTCAACAGGGTAAGAGAGGGTTCTGCTTCATTACTGCCAGGTTGAAGTAGAAGTCCAGGTTCCCCACTTGGCCTCTATTGACACTCAAGGCAGGAGCTTCTTGTTTTGCTAGTGACTATGGTGGAAATGATCTTGTTACTGCTGGGCAATGGTGAAAATCCAGATTCTTCACTGGACCTCCTATGACATTACAACCCAGCAGGGAGGGAAAGAGGTGCCTTGTTATAGGCTGGTGGGGATAGAGTCTAGGCTCCCTACTTGGCTGTTGCTGCCATATTGTGGGGCGGGGGGGCAGTTTATTCCCTGGAATTTGGCTGGAATTGAGCAGTTATCTTCTAAAAGTTTTCTGTCTTGCTGTTATTCCTTTTCTGTCCTATGACTAGAGAGAACAGGCTTTTGTTGGGGCCTTTTTTTTTTTTTTTTAGCTGCACCTGTTGTCTATTCTGCATTGCCAGCTTCTTCAACCCCGAGACTGAGATATGTGGGGCAAAAAGAAAACTCAGAGAACTCACCACTGTGTCATTTTTCAAGTCCCAAAATCCCTAGCCAGTCTGCCAATCTGCCTTCTTCTCTCCATATTCAGATTATTCTTCTGTTTGTTGTATATGTAATGTCCAGGATTTTTAGTTTTATTGGCAGTAGGAATGGGGAAAAGTACATCTACTCCATTTTCCCAGAAGTGGAAATGCCAAGGTTTGGTGGGGTTTTTTCCTCACTGTTTTTAGCATCCAGGCCTCAGTATAGACTCTTCCTCCTGTCTGGAGTACCTTTCAACTAAGTCTTGTTTATTATTCAGGTTTCAACTTAAATATTATTCAAGACGATGCTTTCTGTTCCCTGGATAAGTTTGAGTTCCCCTCTGCCAAATATTCCCAGAGTACCTTGTATTTCTCTTATCATCTCAATTATCATACTTTATTACAGTTATTTATTTAATGTCTGTGTTACTAAATAGTTTGTAATTCCATAAAGACAAGGATGATGATGTTGTTCAACACTATACCAAATATCTGGTGCTTACTGCAGTGCGCAGGACAAAGTAGACATTTTACAAATTCAGGTTGAATGTACCTATTTGTGGTTGGTTCTTGAATATCCACTTTTCTGATTGCCCCAAGTGCTCCCTGAAACTCCTATGGCCACCTGGGCTCCTCTGGGATTCCTGGACCTCCTCATGATCCAGAAACTTGAAGGCTAATGCTGGGCAAAGCAAGTTCTCCAGGTTCATGCTCAGATCTAAGGCTTGGGTGCGTCTGGTTGGCTGTTGCTTAGGACATATCAGTTAAAATAGTTTGATATCATCCTGATTATATAAATGAATGAATTAGATCCAGAAGCTCCAAGCTTTTCTAGCATACCTAATCCATAACCAATAAAACTCCTCTGAATGTGCTTTCCTCCATAGTCTGCATAATTGCTTATAGCCCTTGTTGTGGATGATTCCTCTCTTTTCATATACGGACTTTGGCCTGAGCATATACAGTGAGATGTTCTAGGACAGTAGTCATAGCTCCAAGCCGGTTCTTCCTTGCTTCCTCTCTAACCAAGGTCTTATTTCCTAAGACAGGTTTTTAAAGGATATTTTCCTTATATTTCCAAAACTGGCTCACAGGTCACACTGTCACAGCCTGCTTCATGGGCCATGTGTCTTCTTTCACATTTTGCAGTGAAAGACTTCATCTCCCTTCCTACTGGACTCTGCTTCAAGAGCAGTTGTGAAATGACTCCTTAGGATCCTATCCCGAGTCTGTATCCTCCTCAAACACTAGTTCTCCTCTATCATCAGTCTCCATTTTCCTTTCCCTAGTCCACAAGGTAGGCTTCCCCCTCCCCCCAACCAAAGTCTATACCCTCTGAAATTTTTCTTGACTTGATATTTTTCTTTGATTCATTTATTCTGTTCTATCAGGCCCCTTTACTCTGTGGACAAACCAGGATGTCCCTGATCCTTCTTTTATGGTTCTGCTCACTCTCAAAAATTAGCGATTTAACTATTGAGAATAGCTATCTCTTAGAAGTTTCAGCTATTTCCGTTTCTCTATTTTTTACATTGTAAATTTTTTTCACTATTATGATTTTGCCATCTGTACATCAAAGCAAAGGTTGCAATTAGCCAATTAGATTTTAAATCTCTTTCTACATGATTCAATCAATCTTTTTTTTAAATCATATATTTCATTCTGGTTCCATCCTTAGGGAACCAAGGATAGCATTGGGTTTCATTACCATCTCTGGTCCCTTAGCAGTACTTATCCACAATCTTGTTTTGCAGAGGACTTTGAGACTATCAAAGCACAAAGGAATCATGTGATTGATTATTAATGTTTGCAAGAACAAAGCCAGGAGGAGCGGTGTCTCTCTTGTCTTATGCATTCATATAGATGTTCCTATTGTCTATGATTCTGTACCTTCTTTACACTTTGCTGCCTTTATTGAGGGTACCTGAATGAACAGATGGATACTCGAGACTGAGAAGCAGAAGCTTCCAAGCTCTGATTACCTCTTTGCCAATGACAAGATTGCCATGATTTTCAGGAAGAGACTGAATACCTTAAATCCTCTTCCTGATGAAATTACTTTGAAACATTTTTACTTTGAGTTTGAGATTACTAATTGCTGACTTTTTATTATTTTCATAGGCAGCACTCAGCATATTTGGCATGGTTGGTGGACCACTTCTGGGCTTGTTTTCTTTGGGCATTTTGGTTCCCTTTGCCAACTCTATTGTAAGTATGAAGAATTAATATGTGTGAAGCTTTCTTTTGCAAGCACAATTTTTTCTCAATTGTAAAGATGAAGTTCCTTTGATATCTGTCGTTAGTGACTTGTCTCAATGACTTGAATTACTCATATTGACTTTGCTGGAGTGTACAGTGAAGTCCTATGCACTGGGACCCTGCATATGTGAAGCTAAATGATAACTGCCAGAATATGTATTATGAATATTATATAACTAAGTTATATAATGATATGATATAATTATATAACAAAAACAGATTATAGAATATTGTAGAACATAACTAAATGATATGTATTATGAAATGATGTATGATATGTGATATATTATGACATATAGTTTGATGTCTATTATGAATATTATATAATATAACTGAAGGATCAACACTTTTTGCGCATTTATCTTTTTGCCCTTCTTGAAGAGATCAACAGGCTTAGATATGAAAGATTTAACGGCAATAGAGCTGAGGATACCTGTGAATAGCCACAGTAAAGCAAAGAGAAGCAATAAGATCAGATCTTCACCATCTTGTCCAGAAAATTTATACTGCTCAAATGTAAAGCTGTAGCTCCGATAACATTCTAGCCCGAAAGGGGTGATCATAATTGGGGATAATATCCAGAAATAGATAATATCTCTGTTTTTCTACATAGACACATCTGTGCTTTGAAGTGCTAAATTTTGTTTGGAATAAAAGAAATAAAAATTATTTCCCTGGAGAAACTCCAGTGGTTCAGTCATGCTGTAAGCTAAAGTTCAGGAAAAACCGATAATGTGTGTATGGTTGTTTCAGACAGATGTAGAATAACCACAGAACTATGACTTTACATTTAGGTTAAAATGCCATTCTTTACATTAAAATTCCATTTTGCTCATGAGGCATTAGGAATTGGTAAGGTAGATTCTAATAATGGCTGTTATTGTTGTTATTATTATTAATAATAATTCTCAATGAAGTGTCATATGAAAAGCTAGCTTGGTAGAAATTAATCACAACGAAAGAGAGTAGTTTGTGTCCACTTCAGAATGCTGAAGCTTTTAGCCAACTCCTGAAATGCGTGGTGGTTTGCTGAGTGTCTGAAACATTAAAAAAAAAAGACTGACTTTTGGTTGTTGACGTTTATGCCACCGTGAGTTGCCTCCAGAAAAGCTGTAGCTGACTAGGTCCAACACATCCTTTTTCAGGGGAAGCAGGATACTATTGTTCCTATCATAGGAAGCACCTCTTTTTACTATATTCATGTTATTCACCAGCAGAATATCTGCTCTTACTTAGGAGTGGACTTCCTCTTCCCTCTCTCCCTCACTCCCTTCTTTCCTCCCTCTTTCTTCTCCTCCTTTACTTCTCTTCCTCCCTTCTTCTCATTCATTCATTGAATATGTATGGGCTGAGCACTGTCCTGGGAGTAGAGAGTGCTGAATATTTCTGCCCTTGTGGGTATTATAATTTTGTAGATCCCTGATCAAGCCATGTACAGTGCTGAGAGTAAGCAAGTCTGACTTATCAACAGCTGGCCAGATCTACTATTCCAACCTCAAATTATTCAAAAATATTTTTTGCATGCTTGCTATATGTGTAGCCCTGCGGTAAGAGCTAGGGCACCTGAAATAAACAAACCTAATTCTGCTCTGAAGAGTTCATGGCTTAATGAAAGAGCTTGCAGTCCTTGTCCCCAACATAAATCCTCTGATCTGGTCAGCAGCCTTCTTGTTTTTTCCCACCAACACACTGTTCTTTTTTTCAACCCTATGATTTTGCTTATGTTTTCCCCCTTACTTCGCATATTCTCACCTGTCCTCTCTATGTGGAACCCAAGGCACAAGCTGCCCTGTCTGATCATTATTTGTAAAGGAAGGGGAGAAATTTGACCCACAGAGGAAGGGGCTACCCAGCTCAAGGTTTTCCTGTGTGTCCATCATTTGGAATTAGGGCTTAAATCATTCAAGAGCTGGCAGAACACCTGGATTACAGGTGAAAAGCAGGAGTGAGGGACCCAAGTCTTCCAAAGATTGGGAATCCAAATGTCTTCAAAGAGGACGTCTCCATTTATCTCTAGAAATACTTGGTTTGGTTGTCTGCACCATGCAGTCATTTGTGAAAACTGCTTGCTGTTTTCTCCATAATTACCCTAAAGCACAATTACAATCATGCTCGTTGCTAAGTATAGGAATAAACTCTGTGTGTGCTTTCTTCTTCATAGTCTCTTACTCTTACAGTGTGCCATTTGTTCACGGATTAAGTAAAAATAGAAGGAACAATTGGCCTGGAGTCAACTGTGTGACTGTTGTAGTTAATTGGGTATGAAGAGACAAGGAGGCCAGAATATACTGTTGGCCATGGAAACAGGGTGGAAGGAATGGAATTATGAGACATATGAAAAAAAAATGGATAGAAATTGGTGATTGGCTAGATAGGAATGTCAAAAAGGGAATCAGGTTACAGAGTCCCCAGGGCTCTGGGCTGAGGGACCAGGGGCCCATCCTGCCCTTGACAGAAGGCAGGGATCTTGCGAGGGGAAATAGTTTTAGGAGAAAAGCTGGTAAATTTGACTTGGGCTATATTGAGCTTACCCTTCTAATGTTAATTACCTTCTCAAAGAAAACTGTATTATTTTTCTTTTAAAACCACTTTTGTTTTGCAGGGAGCACTTGCTGGTCTGCTGGCTGGATTTGTTGTTTCTTTGTGGGTTGGAATTGGAGCTCAGCTTTACCCTCCACTTCCTGAGAGCACTATGCCACTAAGCCTTGAAACCTACGGCTGTAACAGCACGTACAATGGAACAAATTGGATGACAACCACAGAAATGCCATTTTCTACTAGTGCTTTTCAAGTACACAATGTTGAAAGGTATTGAATTAAGCTTTATAATGTCATATTTTTAAAAAATGTATGTGACAAGTAGAGAACCCCTGTTGCTTTTTGTCTTGCCTGCAATGCTGCAATTTTGCCTAATTCTGAAATGTGTAGAGCCCATGTGGCTTTCTGGCTGTAATATTTTGTTCTGAAATAGCAAAAGTTACGTATTTTCTTAATTTTGATGGAAACTTCTGCCTCACCTACAGATCCAGAGAAGACTTGAATAGTAACAACAAAAAATTCCTATTATGAGTAAATGCTACCAGATACCAGCTCTATGAAAAATTGTCTTTGTCAACTGAAAAACTTTTAAAATGAAAAGCACAATTATAAAAGAATCATTGCTCTTAAAGTTTTTGAAGTACAGCCTTTACAGACTAAAAGCCGTAATTATCTAAATATGTTGAGTAATCGCTATTTGTTCAGTTTTAAAGATTCCAAATCTTTAGAGCTCTAGCAATGAGTTGCAGTCATGGTCTTCTTACTAGAGTTTTCAGTATTCAGTACACTTTTGAGCTTCTGGATACTGATGTTGTCTGATTTAATGAAATTATGCAGACCTGTTGGTAGGTAATTATTTTATTGTATAGTGAATGTGATGGCAAGACTTTCTTTAGTGGGTACATAGATGTCCAGCCTTGAAGCACAAACGCCATGAATATGTTCAAGGAGTGCAAAGATGAAGCTATTGCCCCTAAAGTATTATCTGAATTCTAACTGACCCAGAATGAAATCATTCCCTTTGGGTCAAGACGTGGTATCTCACTCTTAAAATGGACACACTCCTTTGAGAAGGAACGTGTCTGTTATTATTAGCAATTCACATCCTGAAGGGAATTCATCTATGAGAATGGTTGCCAGTGAGAGTTCAAGGCTGGTAAACTCTGCATGCTTAGAGAGAAAAGGTAGTTCCAGAACCTGAGGCATATCTGGGGGAGGTTTGACTACATGGGGTGCTGTGGGGAGAGGGGCAAGGATATGCAAGGAGCAGTCTGGACAAGCATGAAAGCACTAATGGAAGTGTCAGGAAAGTCATTAGAATCAGAAAGGGATAAAAGATTAATGGAAGGGTGCATCGGAGGATGTTCAGGATGTACTTCTTGTTTCACAATTTTGCTTAGCATTTTTTCTGATTATGTAAATATCTGTCTTAATTTGAGTCTAAGGCAAAATAATTATTTGGATTCCTGAAACAAATAAATTAGCTGAGATTTATCATGTACTTGGTACCTGGTACCATAATAATCATTCTTTTTAATCACTTTTATATGTTAGCTTATTTATAAAATAACTTGGCTAATACAAGAATTTATGAGTATGAACAATATACTCAGCCCTGAGCTGGCCATTTATGTAATATCCATTGAAAGTCTTCTCTTCCCCTTCACTGTGATTCCTGCCTTCCAGGAAATTATAATCTAGCTGGAGAGAATGTACTAATATACACATTAACTCAGTAAGCACGGTAAGTCTAGTAACTAGCACATGGTAAATAGCTAATAAATACTTGATAAATATTTGTTAAAAGCATCAATATAAACAAAGTTTAAGTTGAAATTAGCATGAAGACTTCAGAGATGTTGTCTTTCTTGAAGCATGTCAAGATTGGCTAGAGGGAAAGGTCTGGAAAGTCATTCTTGTCACAGAGAATTACCAGAAGAGAAGTTGGACAAGAAAACAAACAAACGATACATTGGGATAAGTGGTATTCGTAGGCTGTCATGGGAGCCAGGAGGAGGAGGAGCCTAACTCTTCCTGGGTGGAGTCAAGGAAAGCATCTTAGAGGAGTATTGCATGACCTGGAATTTACCAGGTGAAAAGATCGGGCAGAGGGGACGAAAGGAAGAAGGAACGTTTATTGCAGAATGGAGAAACAACATATCCAAAGGCATGAAGGCCTGAAGCCATGTGGCATCTTAGGAAATCATACATAGTTCGGTATCGCTAGAGTACAAGAAGAGTGAATGACACAGCTGAAGATGAAACAAGATACTCTTTAGTTGCCTGGAAACTGGTAGCTCGTTGTGGTTTTCATTTGCATTATGTTTAAGTTCAATACATTTTTATATGTTTTTGGCCATTTGGATATTTACTTTTCTGATTTGTCTATTGAACTCTCTGGTCCACTTTTAAATGGATTCTCCATCTTTTTCTTATTTATTTAGGAGTTATTGATATATTCTGGATACAAGATATGTCTTAAAAATATTTTTCTCCCACTCTGCCTTTTTATTCTCTTAATGACACTTTTTGGTGGTCAGAATTTTTTAATTTTAATTGTTTAACTTATCAGTCTTTTCCAATATGGTTAGTCTTTGGTGTGTCCAGTTAAGAAATCTTTGCCTACCCTGAGATCATAAAGACATTCCTGTAATTTTTCATTGAAAAGCTTTTTTGTTAAGCATTTCCATTTAGGAAATGTAATTCACTTTGGAATTTATTTCTGTAGCTGCTGTGATCAAGATTCATTTTTTTCCCCCATATGGCTATTCAACTAACCAAGCAGCACTTGTTGAAAAGATCCTCCTTTTGCCCTATCTCGATGCAGTGACAACTTTGATATAAACTAAATGACTGTTTTCCTGTGGCTCTATTTCTCTATTTTCTATTCTGTTCTATTTTGTCTGTCTTTGGCCCAATAATAGTGTATTATCTTAATTTCAATAGCTCACCTCAATGTGTTTCTCTTCTTTCTGGGACCTTGGCCCCTCAAGTTCTAATTGCCGTGATCTCTCTGGTGTCTTAAAAAATCCCAGCTTCCCCCCATCCCCCAATTTTTTGTATATTATTCTTGGCAGGATGGTTGGTCTAAATCAAGCTACTCTATCAAAGCTGAAAGTGGGATCCTAGAGCACTCATTTTAGAAACAGATCAGATCATGTCACTCTTCCACTTAAAATACTGCCATGAGTGCCATATCCCAGAGAGTAAAATCCAAGCTCATACAAGTCCCACAAAAGACCTCTCATCTGGTACCACTCTATCTTGCTCAGTATGCTTCAGTCAGCTGGTGGTTACTTCTCTCCAGGAAGTTTCCTCAGGAACTTTTTGTTAGCCATATCTCAGTTCAAATGTCACTTCTTCACAAAGGCTTTCTCTGACCCCACGTTAGAGTGTAGTTCCTTCTTTCCACCCTGCTAATGTCGCATTGCCTTGTTTTATTTTCCTTACAACACTTTCTACCAGTGGAAATTATTGTATTTATTAATTAGTTTACTTGTTTATTGCATTTCTTTCCCTATTAGAATGTAAACTTTATAAGGAGAGGAACCTTAGCTACCTTTTTTTATGATAGACTTTCCAGTGACAATATCAGTGCCTGGGACATAAAGCAGAGTTGAATGAATACATATGGACATTTGTTATTATAGTATACAGTCAAGGTTAGGTCATGCTTTTAATTCCTGATACAATAAGGTAAAATTGGGATAGCACATTATGACTTTAACAGCATTATTAAATATTGTATTTTGACTTTGCCATGAGGATTATTGACACGTACTCTTAGCTGCTGGTAGCATTACGTGAAATCTTATGCTTATGCTTTTGTTCTCCCTTAGGACACCACTGATGGATAACTGGTATTCCTTATCATATCTATACTTCAGCACTCTTGGAACTTTTGTAACGTTATTCACAGGAATGCTTATCAGTTTACCAACAGGTAACTCTCTAAACATTAGTATTGTTGTATTTACCCCCTATCAGTTTTTACTATATCTGTTTTATAGCCATTTATGTTATTTTACTATAGTCTTGTTAACAACTAGTTTAATTATTTGTTTCATGTTACTCATGGGAAATTTGAGGGCCTGGACTTGAAATCTCTATCTGAATCTTTGTTCTGCCATTTACTAGCTGCATGAACTTGGGGAAGTCTGTGTAACTACTCTGAGCCTTAGCTATCTCATGTGTAAAATAAGGATAATAATAATTGACCTGCCTATCTCACCAGTTGCTGTAAGTTAAAAATAAAATACTTGAAAAAATTGTCCATGGCTACTAGAATGCCAGGGATCTTACACATATTATTACAACACCCCTGTGTCATGATCTTTTCATTGCCCTGTGCTGACTTTTTGTAAACGGTAAGGAAATATACACATGTGAGGAATAATAATCATAATCTTTATATTTAAACGTGTGGGAAGGCTTTTTTCAGATGTTCATAAACTTTTTAAAAAATCAAACTGATAATACATGTAGTATAGACTGCTCTCTGGGATTACTATAGAACTCTTGTCCCAGCACTTCATTTTGTCCTTGTTCTGTGAATTCCCTTGGCCTCCTTCCTGGGTTGGATTTCCTGCTGTCTGCATCCCATTAATCCTAGTTCTTGTTTACTCCCTTTGTTGAATGGAGCACAGCCTATAGCACGTTCTTGAGAAAGGGTGGACAAGAGAGAGATTTTGGAAACATTGTGTGTCTGAAAAAAATGTCTTTTAATTCTCTGTTATACTTTATTGGTAATTTGAGTTGGGAATCCTAGGTTGAAAATAACTTTCTTGTTTTTGAGAGGATGTCTTAATTTTCTTCTGCCTTACTGTGTTGCTGCTGAGAATGCCAATGCCATGCTACCTGCTGACCCTTTGCATGTGACCCATTTCACCATGACTGCCTTGCCCTAGACCCTCAGTAGGGTCCTTTCAATCTGAAGACCCATATCCTTCCATTCTAGGGCATTTTCCTATATTATTTCTTTTGTAATTTCTGGTCATTTTCTGTTTTCTCTTTCTGGAAACTTCTGTTAGTCAAATGTTTGAGTCTTGGACAGTTCTAATTTTCTTATCTTTTCTTTCCTGTTTTCCATCTCTGTGTTTTTTAGGTCTACTACATGGGATATTTTTTCAATTACTTTTCCAGTAATTCTCAAAGGAGCATTCTGATCCAGTTGTTTTGAGAATAGTCTGTAAGGGAAGGAAGGCAGGTAGGAGGCTGTTGCAGAAATCCAGGTGAACGATCATGGTGGCTCAAACCAGAGTAATAGTGTGGAGTTGGTGAGAAGTGCCTGGTTCCCTAATTTCCTGCATTCCCTCACTCCTGTACATCCATAGCAACCACACTAGGGGAAGGCAGCTCCACTGCTCTCTTTATCAAAAGTGTAATAACCAGTTAGAAATCCTGCGCTTTGTCCAAGTATGTCTGATGTCTTCGCTTGCTTTGTGCTACAAAGTTACCAGCACTGTGACACTTTAAGGAGTTCTATCATCAGTCATTGTTTTTTGGCACCTGGATAGCACTGTCTTTCCAACTTCTGTAACACTTGTATTTAGAATTAATAAATTATATTAATAATTAGTGGTGACATTAATATAATTATATAAGTAATGATATTGATTATAATATATTTATTATATATTACAATGTATAGTTATTATACATTTGTAATAAAGTCTGTAGCTATTTGTTACCTGTCAAACAGTTGTTTTCAATTTTTCTCTTTCTTTTCAAAAAGGACCTTGCTTTTTCTCATAAATGAAATTACCAGCACAGTAGGTCTATTCTCTTGTCTGTTTTGATATATTTTAAAACATGTTTTACACTTCTCTCACCAGTAACCCAACTGTTCAGATCTGGAATACACCTAACCAATCTCCTTGTACTATTTGACCTTTAGTCCTTATTCAACCCGGGTTTTTTCTTTAAGAAAATGAGATATCAGAGTACTTCCTTTCCATATTCATTTTTTCCCTTAAATGCTTTGATTCTGATAACTATAAAAACTATACCTTTTGTTTTAAAAAGTAATGCTCTACCCAGAGGAGCCGGCATCCATTGATAAAATACACTGCAACTTCATTAACTTCATAAATGACTTATTCCCATTCTACAGCAGCAGTGAGCACCTTAAAAAAAAAATTTAGAAACATAAAATCCTGATGCTCCTTGGCAAATATATTTAAAAATCTACTCTAGGATACTAGGAGTCTGGAAGAATTCAGGCCAAACAGACTGGGTCGGCCTTTCAACTTCACCTAACTATGTACTGTGCATAGTGAATTGTCTCTTCATCAGTAAAGTGGGGTAAATGATTCCCTGAGTAGACCATGAGCTATGAATGCAATGATTGTTTTACTCATCTCTGTCTCTCTAGGACCTTGTAGAGTCCCTAGCACATGGTAGGCACTCAACAATGTTGAATGAATTAATTTCAAGTTGATTCCATCTCCAGAAGAGCTTAGGCCCCCATAATTAAAAGTCTAGCATTTTACTAAAGTAGTGGTTCTCAAACATTAAAGAGCTTCAGAAATTTGGTAAAAATCAGAATTCAGTGGCCCCACCCCAGAGGTTCTAATTAGGTCAGTCCAGATTGGAGTCCAGGAATCTGCATTTTAAGTACATCTCCTAGGTGATTTGGATGGAGGTATTTTGAGAACTGCTCTTCGAGACACATGGTTTTAAAAGAATCTTCTTTGATCTACAAATAAAATACCAAACCAGAGAATATGTTTTTATAAAATCTTTTATAATTCCTCTTTAGGGAAGAGGAATTGGATCAAACACGAGTCATTGTACTGATTTTCATTTAAATAACGTATTCCACAATTTCGGATTTCCTGCATTTCTTCACACACATCTATATTCATAGCCACCAAATTGAGGAAAGGCAACTCGACTGTCTGAAGCAGAGGCAGATGGTTTGATATTTTATTGGTAGATCATGAAGGATGCTTTTAAATCAGTTTTCCTATCAGCACTGGGCCAGGTGACTCTTTCGCTGAGCACCAGATGAGGGATTTGGTTTGCATTTAAGAGCCATCTCATTTATCTTTAAACATTAGACTCCTATTTATCACAGTGAGAGGCTTGCAGAATCTGAGCCTGACTGAGGGAAGGGAAATGGGGAACTAAGTCTATGTAGAAAATTCCCTTTCTCTTTGTGTTTTATGAATGCGTAGACTTCACTGTGCACAAGTTAAATGCCTGTCTGGTGGACTGTCACTAGGTAGTTAGAGATATCTTTTTAACAATGTAAATAATGTATATGTTTTTCAGGAGGAAGAAAACAGAACATAGACCACAGATTCCTACTAACCAAAGAGGACTTTTTATCCAATTTTGATGTTTTTAAGAAGGTAAGTTGGCTTTCTTTTTTCTTAAAGTAGTAAGACTGTTCTTTTATCATCAGATTAGAAAACTAGTTAATCCCCAGACTCTCTTTTGAACTCTGATGAACAAGGAAGGTATTGGCCCTACTCTTTGATGACCTGCTTCTGTTGTGTCCTCTCTTCCCCAGTAGACTACGAAGCTGATTTTGAGAAAGAAAAGCAGTAGTAACAATTATTTAGAATTGAATGAATGAAAGGTTTTTTTTCTAATCACCTTTTTAACATTTTCTTTTAGAAGAAGCATATTTTAAGCTATAAATCTCATCCAGTAGAAGATGGTGGAACTGATAATCCTGCCTTCAACCATGTTGAACTGAACTTCACAGATCAAAGTGGCAAGATCAAAGGGACTCGTTTGTGAAGCAGCTTTGATACTAAATGATCTTAAACAGTGTCCCAATTTTATATATTTTCTAAGATAATTGGATCAGGTTTAGATTTTTTGTTGTTGTTGTCTATCATGAGTGTTTTGGGGATAAATTTTTGTTAAAGTGAGTTTCTTCACATACTACACTCATTAACTGATGCTACTCTGGAGTTAGGAGTTTCAGCATCAGCATTTCCCTCGATCTCTCTTTTATTTCAATGAAGCTGTAGTTATGAGAGTTATGACTGCATATGTACTGAAAGGCTAATACACACAAATACACTCATCCTTGATGGTCAAAAGCAGATTCTTCAATTTGGGCATTACTAAAAATTCTTTCCATGCATTTGGTGCTAGCGTATAAGTTTTGGGATTTGCCATAATCATAACTGATATTGAAAAGAGCTTTTCTTCCTCCTACTACATACTCTGTTCTTAGGGAGCAATGGGGTGACAAGTCTGTGTTGTCTATATCTTCTCTTCTCATTGACCCCTCTCTGCCCAGGGCGCATATTAACCTTGGAACCAAATCTGTCTCAGGAAAGTGGTAATCAAGAAGCATTCTGTTTGGGACAGAAGATGGACCCAAGGATCAAGGTGCTTCTTTGTGCTATGCTTCTTTTCTCATGCCTTTTTGCTTATTATCTAGAACTTCCTGGCCATTGGCTGCTTATATTGCCTTTCTGAGACTCTGGTTCTTATCTGCTTTCCTAGTTTCTGACCCATCAACTTTTGTTTTATTGTGCAGTTTACCTTTGCTTTAATTTACTAATTTCTTGTTTACTCTATTGCCTTGGGCTTGCATATGTCTTGACACACCAATATGAATCATGCTACTCCAGATCCTGGTTCACTAAGTCCCAGCCTATAAATTATAAACTCCCATGAGCCTGATACTGACTAAGGTACTTTCAACATAGGTGCTTATGGATTTGGTGATCCAAGAACATTTACATGATTGAGAGTGGTTAAGCTCCATGGAGTTAGATGAAGACAATGAATGCTATCATGCTGAATTTTTAAATGTCAGCTAATTTGCAATCTATTAAATTTAAAGGTACGTGTGCTTAGAAGTCTTGAATTCTAGTATATTCACCCAGTTAGAGAGCTAAATTACGCAGGCAAACACTACCATTTTTCTTTAATGTTTTGGAGTTACTGAATATATGCTTTGTTCTATGTATTAAAATTTCAAGTAGTAGTCCCAAAGTTTATTTTGTTTATTTTGCTGTATTTCTAGCTAAGAGTTTGGTTACAAGCTTTCATCAGTAACTTATTTTTTTCTGCAGTACCCACATTATATACTGTTTAGAAGTTTGTTTGGTTTTACAATGTTTTAAAATAATGTGAGAAATATTTAGGTACATTAACTATTTTGTAATTAAAAAATTTTTTGCTTATTTTGTAATATTTGGGTAAGCATGCTCTATCCATTTAGACGTTTCCAATTGAAAACAGTAAAAAATTAAAAAGAATAGGAATAGCATTTATATAAGCAAAGAGATTTATATAACATTATATTAACAATGTAGTCATATATTTTGTATGTGTATAGATGTTATTTTTTTAATCAATATATTTGTAAGCATACGTTAAACTTTGTAAATCTTTCTCCAATTTTTTAATGAATAGGAAGGTATAATCCTATTTTATGCATGTGTGATTTGAACTATTGTTATTTATTTAGTAATTCTAAATGCACTTGTGTGTAGAATGCTTCAATTTTAGTAATCAAAATCAGGTTATTTAAATAACTTTTTCTCTTGTCTGACTGCCCGGGGGTTATGCAATGTATTCTTAATGAGAGATATGATACTTCCATTCTTGTCCACTTTCTTTTAATAAAATATATCTTTGTGACATTAGGAACTGTCAGTATTTTACTTTTATAAACAGGTAAGAGTGCCAGATGGAATTCTTAAGAAATCAAAGTAACATTATTGTTAATTATTAAAAATCATATATCTTATCTAAATCTTTGGGTAAAACCAAATAGAGGTAAAAGATTAATCTATTGTAAATTAAATAATCTGATATTCTTATTTTGAGTCACAACAACTCTAATGAGAAGGAAAAGCCACACAAGTTGTCTGTTTTTGTTTTGCCACTGACAAGTTGTATGACGTTGAATTTATCCTTAATCTCCTCTAACGATGGAACGTAACACTAAACACCTACCTACCTCACAGAAATAATGTGAGTATAAAATGTCAAGTAGCACTTTATTAACTCAGTGTTACTTAAAATTTCCATATGATTGGGAATCAAAATTTGAAACAAAGGTCATTTGCTAGTTTTAAAAAATGATGAGCAGTTAATTTGCAATGTAATCATGTGGAAATATTTTATTTTTTAAAAAATAGGTGCCATAGATATATTAAAATGTATTTAGGAATCAGCAGGATTATTCTAACAGAGAGAATATAAACTTTACTTAAAGAAAGCTATGTACCAATCATATTCACTACATAGAGAAATGAAAATTTTATATGTAGGATGTAAAACAGTATAAATGTATATTCACCTATTTAGTTGCTTATACAGTCATTTTCTCTCTAGACCAGTGGTTCTCAGTGGGGCAATTTTGCACCTCAGGAACATCTGGAAATATCTGGTACATTTTTGGTTGTCACAGCTGGTGAGGAGGTGCTACTGACATCTAGTGGATAGAATTCAGGGACGCTGCTAAACATCCTGTGATGCACAGGGCTGCCCCTCTCCGCCACAGCAAAAAATGATCCTGCCCCAGATATCACTAGTGTTGAGTTTGAGAAATCCTGCCCTAGAGGCTAAAGTTGCGATCTTGATTTTCCTGAATTCACATACCCTGGTTGTGTTACTTTAGAGACATTACCTTGACTCCTCTCTCTGATCATTCTCATCTACAAATGAGGGTGAGATTATCACTAGCATATGGAATGCTATGATTTGGAATAATGATGATATGTTTTCATAGCATTTTGAAAATATTAAGGACTATAAAATGGTGAATAATTTTGAAAAAAACTCTTAAAAAAGTGTTGTTTCACAACATGATTTCCAACATTAACACACATTAGGATGAGGAAATAGTAAATGTATGAATACGAAGATTTCATAATTTTGTTTTATTTGTGAAAACCCCGGGAAGTCCAGTTCATTATTAACAACTGAGTATCCATGATGTAGATACAAGGCGCAGAGATGGGGTTGAGATCAGGGAAGTGGCTCTCTGTGTTGATCTTTTAGGAAATTCTGAGTGTTTTCCAATAATGATTGTTGATATAGAATCAAATGAATACGTGATCATTGTTACTAAAAATTCATTATATAATTTGGTCATTGTAAAATTTGCTTTTACGTTTAAGTTGTATGTCCATTGTTTGTGGAAAAAACCTGAAGGAACTGAACATTATAATGTACAATGGTTGCATTTCTGATTTTCCAACTTGCTGATTAAACTCTCTACAAATGTCTTTGCAGTTGTCTGTTTTGGGGAATTAATGTCAAATTGAATATAATTCATTTATAAGCTTTTACAGAATTATTTTCACTCTATTTACCACATAAAGCACTCTTCCTATATACTATATATAGATTTTAAAAGTGTAGGCAAGTAAACATGCAGAACTTTTGTCACTGAAGAATATTTTATATTTTAAGTAATAAACACTGTATTTGAAAATAGAAAGTAACATCTTTACTACAGGAAATTTCTTAGCCATTATCTCTTTGACTATTCCTCCCTACCATTTTCTCTCTTCTGTACTCTTTAACTCCTATTAGATGACTGTTGTACCTTTTTATCCTATTGTCCGTCTCCTAATCTAGTTCATATTTTCCACGTTTTTATATTTAAAAATTTCAGGATGCATTTGCAGGATGCATCACATAAATATAAACAGAGAGATATTTCCTTTCATTTTCTTTTCAGCTGTTTCTAATCTGCTACTTAACCTATCCATTGAATTTTCCATTTCATTGACTTTATATTTTTCATTTCTAGAGTTGGACATGCTTTAAAAATTTTTTCTACTCTTTTTTCGCTAGTATTGGATTCTTTCATTATGATTCCCAGTCATTCTTTTAATCTTTTTAATAATTTTAACAATATTTACTACTTTTTCATATTGCTATCTTATCTGAAATTCTTGGTGTGCTAATTCTTCTACTTGTTCATTTGGTTACTTTCCTTCTTGGTGGTTTCTTTCCTTATGTAGTTGATCATTTTAACTGGCAGTTTATCTTCAGTAGGGGTTGTATTTTGTCTAGTGAAAGTTCTCTGGGCTCTGGTTAGTGACAGCCTCTACGAAGAAGTGTTAAATTAGCTTTTGTTGTGCCCTAGTTGTTTCAATGGCGCTCAGCCAGTTTTACATCATTATCTCAGGTTGGGCTTCTCTCTTATGTTCACAGTTTCAATGTCATCCTATACCTGCCTGTGCATGGCACAGAATTTAGGCTCGTTACCTCAGCTTTGTTTGTTTTCCATCTGAAGACTTGGATAGAGGCAAACTTTCTCTAAAATTCCCTTTTAACTAGTGGGCCATTTCTTCGAGTCTTCAGACTTTTGGTGATATTTGGAACAGAGTTCTAACTTCTCCACATTCTGTGGGCAGAAACCTCATCTTTGTTCCCATGAGGACATAAGAACTCATCAGGTTGTACACCTCCATAGATTATTCAACATCTGTTGGTACCATTGTTATGGTTTTGATTTTCATTTTAATGTTGGGACTGGTGTTTCCCTTTTCATTCTTACAAGTTTGACTCTATATAAAAATTTTTATTTTGTGACATTTTATTCAGAATTTCTGTGGGTTTATAGGAAAAGGGGCCCTCATCTATATCAATATGAACCACAAGTTGTCAGAAGTTCTGTCGTTATTATTTTAATTTGCTTAATCCTAGGCTGTGAAGGCGCAAGGAGATATTTGTCGCATGTAATTTCAAAGCAACATGCAAAATAGGATATAAAGTGAACACATGAATGCTGAGGTACATGGAGAGTCTTCTGTTTTTATATAATAGCTTTATTGAGATATAATTCACATACGATACACTTAACTCATTTAAAATGTGCAACTCAATGGTTTTTATATTCACAGAGTTCTGCAACCACAATCTTAGAACATTTTCATCAGCCCCGAAAGAAACCCCACACCCATTAGCAATCACTCCCGCATTTCTCCCAACCCCTTTAGTCCTAGGCACATAGCTGTATATTCTTAGTTGTGGGTCCTTCTAGTTGTGGCATGTGGGACGCTGCCTCAGCGTGGTTTGATGAGCAGTGCCATGTCCGCGCCCAGGATTCGAACCAACAAAACACTGGGCCGCCTGCAGCGGAGTGCACGAACTTAACCACTCGGCCATGGGGCCAGCCCCTGTATTTCTTATTATAGCCATTCTAGTGGGTGTGAAGTGGTATCTTATCGTGGTTTTGGTTTGCATTTCCCTGGCAGCTAATGATATTGAATATCATTTTATGTTTATTGGGCATTTGTACGTCTTCTTTGGAGTCATATCTATTCGGACCCTTTTTCCATTTTTAATTAGTTTATTTGTCTGTTTATTATTGAGTTGTAAGAGTTCCTTGTATAGTCAAGATATAATTCCCTTTATATGTGTGTATTTATATAATATATATATGCCATATATATATGCTATATACATACTATATATACGCGATATATATATCTATGGAATATATGCAATATATATATATATAGCAAACATTTTCTTCCATTCTGGGTTGGAGATTTTTCTTTTAATTGCAAATATTTGAGTTACAGAGAAAAGTCATTTGAAATCTAAATGGAAGTAAAATATAATGTGATTTTGAAGTAGAGAAACATAAAGCCTGCTATTCACACACTTAATGCAAAGTAGGAAACATGATGTTTCAGCAAATAAGACGTACAAATACAGTGCCAGTTTTTGGAGGTATGGCCAATCATGGAGGTAGGTGTAGAAAAAAAAGGAGATAAGTGAAGAGACAGGAGAGAGATAAATACATGGATTTGCCTTTCTGTTGAGGCCATGCACAGCATTATTATTTAACACTAGGTGGAAGACAGGATACTAGGCAAAGGCAAGACTGCAAAAAAGTGGTAGGAGAGAGTTAAGGAATACCTTGGTTTACACGCTGTTGGCGAGGCAAATGGCTGGCTCAATGAGGCTGTCTACAGGGGAAGTGATCAAGCAGAGAAGAGAGCCCTGTGATGAGATTCAGAGGAAAGTACAGCGGTGAAAATTTAACCAATGATCTCCCCCGCTCCCTGGATCATTCGATTGCCTCCTTGACTTTCTTCACATTCAACTAATCAGGACTTTGATGTTTATTGCTCAGAAAAGTGATGCTTCAGCAAATACCAGAGAGAAGAGGGATTTATTTTTGGCTGCTGAATGTCAAAAGTTTAGCTCTCAGGTTGACAAGGATAAAATATCTTGGAAGGTAAGAGCTAGGTTCTTGAACCCCTAGAGTAGAAGTGGGTTCTCCATGCTGGGAGGATTAGAGGGAAGTGAGGAGAGTTAATATATTCCTGAGTCTCTGAGGACGTGAATATATTCGTGTCCTACTCTACGTGCTGAGCCCTGGATGGCAGCAGCAAATCCATAGGGATTTGAAAACCAATAAAACCTGTGTCCCATCTCTTGGTTAGAGCTCAGAGCCATAAGACCCCAGTAAATACTCAGCTGAGTGGTGCATCTGGGCAGGTGTACAGCATTTGGGCATTAGAATTTACCATGCTTCATGGGTACAGAAGCAGAAACTGATGCATCAGGTGTCCAGGTGAATAGGACTTTTAATAGCCTTACAATTTTCTATGACCTAGTGTAGTGGAAGAGCAGTATAATGATTTCTAAGCTCCCAAGGGCAGAATGGAGGTAAAGAAGGAAACGTATATGGGAATTGGGCTCAAACAGGCTGAGATGTACTTAGACTGACAATCAAGGATTTTATGGTTTCAGAACAGGACATGAATGTTATAAGCTTAGACAGTTAAAAAAAAAATGAGGCAGTTAGGGGAGTGGTGATGGGAGGAAGAAATACTATTCTCATTTTATAGCAAGTAGTCAATCAATACTGTAGCTAAAAATGGATTTCAACCTCTTAATGCTTTTCATGATCTCTTAAACTTAGTCGTCTGTGTTCACTGCTATATTCTTAGCATCTAGAACAGAGTGTGGCACAATAAATATTTGTTAAATGAATGCATCCATACAATTCCTCCCACTTAGAGTTTTCAGCCACCTTTTTGCTTGTTTGTTTTTAAATGCCACAGGCTTGCTTTCCTGGGTAGCAAAGTCTGAGATGGAGTTGAATTTGCTTAAGGTTTATTAAAAGGTACCTTTAGGATCAACATCTGTGGAAGGAAGATGACAGAAGCAGGTTTGGCAGAAGTGGTGACTGAGCCACAATGCAGATCCAAGGACAGTCTCCCCACAGAGACTCTGGAGTGAGGGGAGCCCTTCAGAGTTACCCTGAGTTGGGCCAAAACAGCCAGGCTTTCATATTCTTGCATCAATAAGTCATTGATGTGGACTGTCACAGGAAGGGGCGTGGTCTTGGACCAGGTGATCCTCTGCAATGAGACAATCTAGAAGGGGCTTAGACATGAAGGCTGTCTGCCAATAGCACTCCCAATGGCTGAGGGAAAAAGTTCTTCCCTGAAGGATCTCAGCAGTGTACTGTGGTATCCACTTCACTAGGTAATTGCATTTTAGAGAAGTTAAATCATTTGTCCAAGATTATACATCTTGGATCTGAACTTAGTTTTGTCTAACTCCAAAGCCCGTAATCTTAATATTTTTGCTCTATTGTACATGTTGATGTAGCTGATGGGGGTTGGAGTTAGGAGGACTTATTCTCAGATCTGGGTTGATACAAAGCGCAGATCAAGGTGAAGGACCTTTCTGTGGCCCTGACCCAATCTTTTGAGAAATGCCCAGTGCTCTGCTCAGCTAGGAACCTGCAGTGACAATGCTTTGTATTGAATGATATGATTGACTGATAACTGATAACTGCTATAGTTTGCTACTCACCTACCTTTCCACCAGGGTGATATTCTCTAAAATATTATACAATCAGATAAAACTGATTAAGTTCAGCTTGAATTGTAGAGTATATTAAAGTAATTCAAATTATGGCAAAATATTGAGTAGGTCAGTGGTTTTCAATGTGTGGTTCCCAGCCAGCAGTATCACCACCACCTGGGTACTTGTAGAAATTGAAATTCTCAGGTACCCTTTAGAACCACTGAAGCAGAAACGGTGGTGGTAGGGTCCAGGTGATGCTAATGCATGCTAGTGTTAGTTTGAGAACTAATGGACTAGATGATAATAATTTTTAGTAGGAAAAACAGTTAATAATTAGTATGACTGTATATAAATGATTCCTTTAAAAATGGTTTGAATTATTTCCTCTATTTTGTTCACAGTATGTGCTTTGCATATTGATCTCAGCGCTTCCAAAGGA